GACCTTTCTAATTCAGGGGCAAATTGTTTGGTTATAGGTTTCTATCATTTTATACAAAGAGCACAATTACATTGTGTAACTTCATACACTAATATAAGACTATTTCATCAATATATGAAAATAAATATACATTTAGGTGAAAAATGCTTAAATTTTCTGTTCATTCCCGATTTCATGAAACAGTAGGTCCACCATGTTGTCATTAACATGGACACAGAAAGGAGAGATGATTTTGTTGAATTTTACATGATTACCCCATGATTAAACCATTCAAAGGAGATCTAACCACATTCTTACAGAAATATTCACCATACCTTCATCTCTATTCAATACTACATGATATTTTTTATGTTTTATTATTTCTAATGATTCACGAATATTATTACCTATTACACTTTTTTCCCATAATATTGTATGTTGTGTTTCCTGTACATGATCTGCTATGGATGAATTTTAAGTTTTTTTTTATTTTTTACTATATCCCTTATGCTCATTTATACATATACATGTATAAACACACACATATACAGATATATAAAGACACACACACACACACATGTACAAATATATACATACACACATGCAACAGCTGAAACTGAAAAATCTAACCTTTATGGTGGTTCTGATGTTCATGTTGACTCTTATCTAACCACTGTTTCAGACGTGGTCCAAAATTGGTCCAGATGATAGAAAGAACAATGACTCCAAAAACCAAATACCAACCATAGAATTGTAGCATCTGCCAAACTATAAAAAAATGAAGAAGAGAGGAAATAGGTGTATTTAAAAATATAAACTATGTTGACAATACTAATATTATGTACAATCACATTTCAATGAATCGGTTACATTATTAACAATTTTCAAGTTATGCTTCTTAAAATAAGTAAGTTTTGTTTTTAATAACATTAGTACTTTGAACAATCATCAAAAAAATTAATATTACAATTATCACAACAAATTTAGTATTAATATCAAAAACTCATGTATTAGCAACAAAACTTCAGCAACTCAGTATAACTAACCTTTAAAATACACATTAATACAAGTTAATCTACGAATTAGTACCAGTTAATATTTCCAATCAGTGGGTTGGGTAGGTATGGTAAATTACTGAGATCCCACCTGTGCAAGGGTCTGCTAACGTGCCTTTGACTAAAAAAAGAAAAAAACTTTTCTATCTGAACACTACTTAGTTTTACTACCTATGTATTTTTCCATTACCTTTCTGAACACTGCTTAGTTTTACTACCTATGTATTTTTTCCATTACCCTTCTGAACACTGCTTAGTTTTACTACCTATGTATTTTTTCTATTACCTATCTGAACGCTACATAGTTTTACTACCTATGTATTTTTTCCATTACCTTTCTGAACACTGCTTAGTTTTACTACCTATGTATTTTTTCCATTACCTTTCTGAACACTGCTTAGTTTTACTACCTATGTATTTTTTCCATTACCTTTCTGAACACTGCTTAGTTTTACTACCTATGTATTTTTTCTATTACCTATCTGAACACTACTTAGTTTTACTACCTATGTATTTTTTCTATTACCTATCTGAACGCTACTTAGTTTTACTACCTATGTATTTTTTCCATTACCTTTCTGAACACTGCTTAGTTTACTAGCTACTGATTATTTCTTTTAACATTACTTTGAACCATTAGTGTGAGGTTCAGAAAAGTTAATTAGGTTCAACAAAATGTTTCTTATTATTGATGGAACCGGTAATGGAAAAATACATAGGTAGTAAAACTAAGCAGTGTTCTCTACAAACAAGTCAACAGATCCTACATCACAGGATAAAAAGAATGGCTCTTGAACTATTTCTGTATTACACTGGACTAATTTTGGCATCTATTAAATATTAGAAAGAACTGTTTTTTAAAATTCCCATAAGTTTTTATTGGTTGTACATAGTAAAACTTTTGTTTTATTCACAACATTTCACCAGGTTAATTATGTACAACCAATAAAAACTTTAAAAAAAACACTTATTTACTCTTAATTACTTGTTAACAATTTTATTTGTATAAAAAATAAATTTATAACACTGTACAACATGCAACATAGTTTTCGTCGAAATGTTTTCCTTTAATATCTATCTATATTTATATATCTATGGGGTGGAGGATGGATGTCATATTAATTTCTACAACTCAGTAAGGAATTTATTATTTTCTTCTAATATGTATTTTTCTGCTGTGCTACTAATATTACCTTATTAATTTGAGCTTTAACTACCACAATAAGGGCTGGAGTGCCAACTTCAGGAAGTAAAGTTTTCTAACTCATCAACCCTAGTGGTAGGACTTTTTCTTATTTTCTTCTGAGAGCAATCACCTTCCCACAACTGTCTGCAGGCAGTGAATAGTGATATAGAATGTTAGATGCTGTGGCTTGGGCATCCACATCTTGATCTCTTACCTTTATTTTTTCATTCTACTCTCTTATTATATTTCTCTTTACAAACTGAAGTTGACATGATACATGGTGTGTTCGCACTGCTATGTGTGTCCTACTTCCACAGTCACCATCAAAAACCAGGACCCATCTTACACTCCACATTATAGCCTGTGCCCTGGTGACTGTTTATTGTGCAACATTTTTGTTTATGGCTTGTTTTGTATTATAAATATATTTTATTTTATCCTTCTTTTTTGATGTAAATATCAACTGCTTAGATGATGTTTATACTATATAAATAGTTAGAGACATAGCTATAATGTACTTATTTTGCATTCTATCTCATGCTTTGAATGTTTAAATCACATTTAACTACCATACTGATATAACAAGGTGCTAAAAATTATCAAAAAATCCCTGTACAACAAGCTTCTTCTTCAACTTCACTCTAATGTTGCCCCTAAACTTCTGCGGTCTCCAAAGGCAGTTATGTTCTCCTGATTACTAAAACCAAAAACAGACAATGGGAAAAACTGGACCACTTAACCATGAAACAGAGAAGTATCAGTGAGGCCAAGATAATACAAAGGAATAGTCTGCCTACCAAACAGCTCAGCAAATCTGAAGAACAAGTACTTGCCTTAGATCTCAACTTGTACTAACCACTCAGTAATATAACCACCCAGGATTTTATCATACCCAAGAATTGGTTGCTCAAGACCTACCCCTAGAGGAAGCTGAAGAATTATAATTTCTGTCCTACTACATTATATACAGATACAACAACATAATCATTCTTCTGGCAGATAATAGTAACCAAACAGTATTGTTAGATCATACCAATTAGGATAAAAAAAATCATACTTAAAGAAGGTAAATACAAGAAAACAACATGACAATCTTTCTGGTAGATAATAGTAACCAAACAGTATTGTTAGATCATACTGATTAGGATTTAAAAAAATCATACTTAAAGAAGGTAAATACAAGACAACAACATGATCATCTTTCTGGAAGATAAAGGTAACCAAACAGTATTGTTAGATCATACTGATTAGGATAAAAAAAAAATTCATACTTAAAGAAGGTAAATACAAGACAACAACGTGATCATCTTTCTGGTAGATAAAGGTAACCAAACAGTACTGTTAGATCATACCAATTAGGATAAAAAATAATAATTCATACTTAAAGAAGGTAAATACAAGACAACAAATGATCATCATTCTGGCAGATAAAGGTAACCAAACAGTACTGTTAGATCATACCGATTAGGATAAAAAATAATAATTCATACTTAAAAAAGGTAAATACAAGACAACAACATGATCATGGTTGTGGCAGATAAAGGTAACTAAACAGTATTGTTAGATGTAACTGATACTCGAGTTAATCAATTGTATCGATTAATATCCTTGTCCTACCCATAATCCTGTGGACTTCTGAAGGTACGTAAACCCACTCTGACTAATTGTGAGCACTAGACTCTCACTGCTGCCAACTAACCTGGTTTATTCTTCCTATACCTACTTTGTTTAGAAATACCAGCTTTTATCAGGTGACAAACTCGACAAGCTTTGCCTCAGAACTTAAGATATTCATAACCACCCCAGCAAAATCCTTGTTTTGACATTACTAATACTTCAGATTCCCTGAACGTTGTCATACAGAAACTATAAACACATACCAGTCTGAACCTAAGAACAAACCTTACTACAGACAAGCATTTCTCAAATGGGGGTCCACAAGTAATGTCCAGATTTCAATAAAAATATTATAAAAAATATCATTTTTACAACAAAAAATATTTTTTTGTAAAATTAAATATACATGAATTAAAACATTTAATTTTAGAACACAGCTTTTCATATACACGGAATCCTTCTTTTCAATCAAAAAAAAAAGTTTGGGGGTCTGCAAAAATATTTTAAATTTAAAAGGTTCCACAAGTATTGAAGTTTGAGAACCACTGCTGTAGCATCTATAAAAAGAGCCTTTCACCCACTGCCATAATACTACTTATTTTCAACTAAATGATTGCTTTTGGGAACAGACCAGTGACCTTGCCATGGGCTTCCTACTCTTAGTAATGATCAGTAACAATGTTTAAGTTCTTGGTTCAGTAGATGCTTCTGAAAAGAGAAATGGGTGGGTATTGTTTCGAGACTAAATTTGTAAGCTTCAACTACGAAAATTTTGAAATAACTTTCTGATAATTACAATCATTAAAAAAAAATCTAAGTAAACTTTCTTGACCTTGAGGTCTTTCTTTTCACAGGTTCAAAATGATTATTGTTTTATTTTCTTACTACTGGGTCAGTTTACTGTCAATCGATACATAATGTAACTTATTCATTGATTTTTGTTACTTTTAATTAAATCAATATTTTCATTTCATGATTCAATTAATAAGTTGTAGGTCTATATTTGCTCAGCATCTCATAATGTATTATTTTAGAGAACTTACATTGATCTCAGTTCTAATTTTCACACAAGTCATTGGTTTAACAACTACTAAAGTCCAATTACTATTATGATTAATAACCTTACAACATACCTGAGCTAAATGCAGATGTCAAAACTTCTGGATCTGAATTTGAATCTGTTTTCTGTTCTTCCATTTCACTTTCAGAAGTTCTTTAACAAAAACAACAATTATTTCTTAAGTTACAAAATGAAGGTATTGATTAACATTAATTAAATAAAGGATGCCAAAAAGGTTAATTAACAATCTTGTCAACCACCCTTATGATAATTAATTTGAACTGAAAAAATAACTAGGAATAAATATTTCTCTAAGTTTAATTAAACCATACCTAGCCAATGATACAAGAAATACCAACTATGCATAACTTAAGCAGATCAATGAGTCTGCCCAGAATCACCACAGCTAACATTACTTAATTGTCCAAGAATTACCATAGTATACTGAACTGTACTAAATAAGATTTGAGTCTTGACTACTTAAACTAAGGTTTCACATAAGCATAGTTCAAGACTAAGTAAAAATTATGTTTTTTCTTCTTCTTAACTTAGTCACATTTTAAGCCTAACAAAAGCAGTACTACTAGCATTAGCAAATAGCACTCTCTTTCAATACTAGGCCTAACTAGCAGTACTTGTAATAATTTAAAATATTATTACTATTAGTATCAGAATAATTTCTTATTAATGTCAATAAAGAAATCGTATTCAATGATTCTGAATGATATGCATCAAACTCACACAAAAATGGTTGCGCCACAGGAATCTAACCTAACTTCTACCCTAATTAAAAGTCTGCCTATCTCATAAAAAGTAATTTTATTAACAATAATTAATATACTACACAAATCATGAATCTGCAAGTTTGGAAAACGTAAGATTGACGAGTAAAATGTAGCGCCATCTACAATATGTGTTTGTAATTTGTATAACTCAGTGACACAAGTAATTCGCTAATTATAGTATTTTGGCACTTGTGTATAAAGTTAGAATCATAAATAATATTCAACGTTAAACTGGTACACAATTGAAAACATTTTATTTAGGCCTATCTATGGCCTTCAAAAAGTTGACGACTCTATATGTTTCGACGTTACTTTTTGAAAGCCATAGATAGGCCTAAATAAAATGTTTTTAATTGTGTA